TTCCATTCAGGTTTCCAGATTGGAGTACAAGCCTGGCCATTCAGGTTTCCATGATATTTGTCTTCTTCTCTACTATAATGGACCAATCAAAATTATACTAGGTCCCCCATGAAAAACGTCCCCCGCTGAGAGCTTTCAACCATTATGCACCCAGGAAAATGCACACATGAATTCATCTCCATTAAAATCAAGAGCTAATAAAACATCTAAATCAAATCCGATGGCCACGATTCGATGTGGGATGCCAGGCTTCTCACGCATCCACACCCTGCACGCCGACGCCGCGCCCTCGCTCCTCCCTGCATCCCGCACGCCCCTCCCTCTCCCACAGACGTGGCTCCTCCACCCCCCATGCGTGCGCGACTCGTCACTCTCCTCTCCCACCAGGCCGTCGACCGCCAGGCATCGCGGCAACCAAGGCCGCCCGGCGCGGCCAGAGACGAGAAGAAGTCCTCGCTGCCGACCATGAACGCTTCAGTGGCATCCGCTCCTCCATCGCTGCCGGCGCTAAGAAGTTTAGGTTTCAGCAACGGGAGCAGGCCTCAAATCAACGGCAGCAGAGCCCGATCACGGCGTGGACAAAAATCCATGGCAGCCCGAAAGCTGGGCCGTCGGCCGCTAGACCGGCAGCGAGCCGCGGCGCGCCGCCGCGTCGCGCAGGAACTCGGTAGCTTCTTTGGGCTGGATGGATGCACTTCGGCCGGCCGCAGCTTGCTTGCTGCTCTTCCTCCTCTTCGCCGCCCCTAGAAAAATCTCACCATTCGAGAAGCCATGCCATGGTCAAGAAGGTCCGTGTGGAGTTGCAGCTCGAGGGACAGAGGCACCACGTCACACCGACACCGCAGAACGTAAAAGCCGACCAAGTCCCAATTTCATTTGTGTCGATCCTCAATCGTGCATTGACTTCTCCTCGGCACCTTGAGCATGCGGGGATGAGCTCGAGGAAATGTCAAAATTCCCTAACGGTGTAACGGACCGTCAGGAAATGTAAAACACCGTCAAGGAAATTTAAAGTAAATTTCTGACGGTGAACCGCCAGGAATAACCGCCGTGGCTGGCTCGGCAGGGGATAATGCTATTTCGACGGTGTACCATCAGGAAAATACGATTTTAATTTCTGACGGTGGATAACCCACAGGTTAATTGCAAAACCGTCAAGAAAAATCTTTTTCCTCCGACGGTAGAAAAAAAAAATGGATTACCGACAAGGGAATAAAATTCTTGGCGGTGCAAAACCGACAAGCTATTATATCATTTACCTCGACGGTCCGCACACCGTCAAAAAAAATCGCTTTTTCTGCGCCGGTGCTGTTTTCCCTGTCGATTTCTTCCCATCGTGGAAATATATTTTTCTTATCGGTGGTGATTTGGACCATCGGGAAAATTTTTTCCCGCCGGTGTTAAACCACCAGAAAAATCACACCGCAAGGAAAAAAACTGACATAATTGTTTTCCATATAATTTAAAATAGATATATTGAATATAATATACTTTGAACCATGGAGACATATACCAAGATAAATACAATACACCATCATATATATATAGATTAGTCTAGCATAAATTCATTACATACATAGATGTCTTGTTTGCATCAACATTGATAAATACATGAGATGTCCTAATATTTAGCACCCATCTACCCAAAATAACTTCTCCAAACATTTGGCATCAACATAACTCCCTTCCACCACCGGTACTAGCTAATGATCAGTACTAGCCCAACAACCACACCACTAGTACTAACCTAAGTGTATGCAGAGGCAAACACTTCAAAAGAATATGAGCTAAAGGTTAGTACTAGCTCAACATCCACGCCACTAAGAACTAGCTGAAGGTTAGTACCAACCAAATTGTATGTAGGGCAAACACTTCAAAAGAGCAGGCTACACAACCATTAGGTCTTTCAAAGAGATCAAGCACCAGACTTTGCACATGTGGCTTCATTATGATAGTTCTGGTTTCCAATGCAGCTCTACTTCCACCATGGAGTCTTTCATTTGCTGCAACATCATCATTAGTCGATTCGGAACCCACATGAGATGATCCAGTCACCGGCTGCATGTGAAAAAGTAAAAGATTATTAGTCACCGGGCTGCATGTGTTTCAGTCAATATGAGTACAAGGCTAAAACATGTTCAGCTAAAAACAAAAGTTGTTTTCAGCTAAGAATGTTCAGCTGAAAACAAAAGATGTGCACCTAAGAATGTGTTACTGACCAAGGTATACATGTTCAGCTAAGAATAGTTTACTAATTATTTTAATACCACTAGTCCAGAATCAGTTCAGCTAATAGAAATTGTGGTGCCCTATTTGCATAACATACTAATTCTTCCCAGTTCTTCAAAACCGAAAAAGTGTGAATTTCTACCTTACCACCGGATGTGAACATTGGAATCTCAGTGTACCATGATTATGTGATTATGTGCAACTAAAGTCCATAGCTACAAAAGAATCAACATGAGGCCACTTCCTCACTGGTGCACTGGGTACTGCCATGCTGAATACCAAAAAGCTCTAGTTAGGCTAACTGAAACATAGGAGCCAAATGCCTAAATTGAATGCCATACAAAGAAGAGTAAAATTCCCTTCACTTTGTTTATTTTCCATCTATGATTTATAGCTAATAGAATATTTTTATATACTCACAGTTGGTTGTGTTGTTGATAGAATGCTTAGTGCTTCCTCTGGAACTTCCTCGCCCACGCGCCGATAAAGTCGCTGCACATGAATATGTACCACGTTAATGTGAACAAATGTTGTTCGAAACAACAAGTCTTAGATTCAGATATTTGCACATACCACTATCAAGCCTAGTGCCATTTTGCCTACATTGTCCTTTTCCTGTTGTAGCCTTGTGTTTTCAGAGCGTAGATGTGCAACTTCTCGTGCCATGCTTTGCATAGAAACTGAATTTGATGGACGGATATTGTTTTCCTTCGCAGCTGCCCTGATATCAGCTGCCCTAACAGCACCATTTGCAATGGCAAATCGTCCATGGGGCGTGCCACCAGAGAGGTCATACAAGACCTTGCCATTCAATTCTTGCTCATGCACTTGCTGGCTTTCCTCTTCCACATCCCCTTCCCCTTCCATGTGCTCATGCTCTCCATCCACTTCATATGGATGTGCAACCCTCCTAACAGCTGACATATAGTCATCCTAGAAACAATGTTCATACATAAAGTAGTCACTTGCACCATAAAAGAAGAATCTAAAAAGTAAATGGTTTCCATATATCAAAGTAGAGCGTGCTTACAATTAGCTTTTGTGCTTTCTGACAACGAATTGGACCACTACTGCCAGTGCTATCCACACTTTTGAAACCAGAATGCATCACAGCAAATGTGTTCATAAATGTTGCCTTTGCTGGACCAAAGTTCTTTCCCTATAAGATAGAATAGGTTTTCAATGTAAACATCAGCAAAGAAATAGAAAAAATAGTAATCTGTACTTGTTCAGAACATGCAGATTTGCTAGTAATCCTCAGCCATATGTCATATTGGTTGTTTTCATATTGGACGAGATTACCTTGTGCTAAAAAAATAATTTGTCTGTTTGTCCAGATTGGCTGTTTGTTACATTCTGAGGTTTCTCTTATCACTTTTCTGTCAGATATAGCACTTATAATTCAAATAGTAGTCTTTACAGATTCTTACGAGTAAGAAGACACTCATTAGCAAGGGTATCATACCAGAACTTGTTGTGTCTCCGTGAATGGCCTCGAACCTCCACGATTTTGAGCAATATCTTGTGATTTGAAGCGACATTCATGTGCTCTCGCTCGTTTTAGCTTGAAATCATCAGTGCACCAATAAGAACACAGCCTAGGCCACACCTCATCACTGCACCACTTCAGCCTACCAGCCAAGTATTGTTCATACTGCAGCTGTATCGGGCGAGCATGTGCATCATCAATTGTTTCAAGTGCATTGGGATCCCTGTAGTACTCCTTCACACAATCCACACGGGATTGATACAACAGGTCCTTAACTCTTTTCTTCAAATATTTTTCAAGAACACGATCAGCCTCTGCTTGGTCATCTATACTGACTTCAAACAAGCGCTGCATGTGTACAAGACAAGCTAGATCAACAAAAGCAACTTATATGTGCATGTTATACTCCTAACTTGAAAAATTATGTGTTGCTTACCAAAAATTCAGAAAGCACACGATCTGCACTTGACACTCCCGTTTGATTCGTAGTATCTAGAAAAAAATAATCTGCCCACTCTCCGGTCTTTTGACGCTTCCTAATGAGTGCCCCATTCTCGTCTCTCGTCCTCAACCAACACGAGAGGGTATTCTCTCTTAAGAACGAACTCCAACTTGAGTCGTGTATTTGTAAGGGGATCCTTGTTCTCATAGTCAACATAGCTAAACCGCACTGCGGATCATACATATTTGTTTTATTGAGGTGTTCAAATATTTATAATAACAATGAATCATCAATTAGTAATGTACTCACTCGTCACCACTTGGTTTAAGAAGCACCTTGGTACCGTGCTTAGGTAGTGCTAATTACATCACGCCGCCATGGCTTCCTTCCTCTTTTTTTAGGTGGCTCTTCTCGGGCAGGAGCACCTCTGGTCCTTTGGGTGGCATCACTAGCAGAGGCTGTACCAGTACCATGAGATGCACTGCCATGGGAGCCACGATTGCTAGTAGCACGATTGGTTGGAACATGACGAATGGCACGAGTCATCTGCACAAAAAGTAGAGTCCACAAAAAGTAAATTAGCATAGGAATTAAATAGCCAGGACAAAAGTTAAGTCTGCACAAAAGGTAAATGGATGCAATGAATAACCAGCAAGTAAAAAACAACAAATATAAGTTTAGAAGGTGAACAACAAGCTAAAATTATATAGTCCACACAAGTAATAATAGTAGATTGAAAAGTTTTGGTTGTCAAACAACCAACTGCATTACATCACATTAATTTTACTAGGACTATATATTGGAACAACAAGTTTTTCCAAATTGCAGTTTATGACTAGATCAGAAATCATTTGGATCATAAGTCTCCTCAGCCTCTTCATCCATTGGTTCCTCCTCTTCTTCTGTGCTTTCATACTCTTCCTCAATATCTTCTTCATCATATCCTTCATCTTGAACAGCAGCCTTCTCTATTGTTTCCAAGTCTTTTGGGTCAGTTATCTCGTCAGAGCCCAATGAGATTATGGTGTCCAATGCATCCCCCAAATCAATAACAAAGGTACCATCCAATCCTTCCTCTTGATAGACATCATGTATTGTCTCTTCATAACTCATTGACTCGGTATTATTGGTATTTCGGGGTACACATCCATGTGGAGCAACCTGATACACAACCCACCATGGTAACAACTCCTTCTTCTTGCATGGGTATGACAGATAGTAAACTTGAGTAACTTGACTAGCCATCACAAATGGGTCAAAACTTTTTAATCTTGCTGCATGCTTGATCTCTACCAACCCTAGGTCTTCTGTGCGCCTCAATCCATTAGGTGTTGGATCAAACCAGCGGCAATAAAACAAAACCAACTCTAGTTTAATACTACCCTCCCATTTTATCTTTATGATATCTTCTATGACACCATAATACTCAAGAGCGTTATCAGATTCATCATATGAAGTAACACAAACACCAGTATTAATGGTTGTTAGCCCTGGTCTTCCTTTCTCATATTTCTCAGAGCGAAATCTATATCCATTGATATCATAACACCCATATGAGGTAACTTGAGTGCGGAAACCATAAGACATTTGGCACAGCACATTGTGAATGCTAGCTGATTTTTGGCACTGAAAAAGAACAATTTATATGTTAACTTTGTTTAAGTTTTCTTATAATTTAAAGTAAGCATAATGTGACTTTTTAGAACAAGGGAAGAAGATTACTTTTCTTTTGAACCATTCAAAAAAATTTGGCCCCGATTCCATGCCATGGCCATGTTTCCAACCATTTAACCTTAAATCACGAAGTTGCTGTTCTGTGGGAGGAAGACGGCTCTTCCACTGCTCCTTCTCAAATTGTCTACATTAACAGATTTATTGTTATCCCTATATGCACAAATTCTACTAAAGAAACCTTAGATTTTTCATGTGTTTTTAGAACTTACATGAAGAAATCTTCCATCTCAGGCATGTTTGTTAATATGTACAGGAAAGCAACCTTGTATTCCTCATTTGAGAGGTCACGGATACCCCTTGGACTAATGCATCGACCCGAGCATTTAAAAATTTCAAGGTCACATGTAGCTTGAAATGTAGATGCACCATCATCATAGCGAGGTATCTTGTTTCTTATTGAAGGAGCAGTGGATTTAAAATACAAGCTAAGGTTATTTGTAACCTCTTCAACTAGGAATGCCTCGACCATGGCAGCTTCAACTTGAGCCTTATTTCTAATTTTCTTCTTAAGTTTTTGGATACACCTATGAAGTAACAACATACCCATGATCAATAAACTAAGGTCCTTTAACTTGGACAGCAGCTTACATAACTTATTTACATAATTACCTCTCATATGGATAGCTCCAACGAGCTAGGACCTCCTCCTAACCTTGCCTCATAAGGTAGATGGATGATCAAATGTTGCATAACATTGAAGAAACCAGGAGGGAATATCTTCTCTAATTTGCAAAGAAGCACTGCAACATTTTGTTCTAGAGAACGGACAACATCTTTGCTAAGCTCTTTCGCACACAATTGGCGATAGAAGTAACTAAGCTCAACCAAAGAGCGCCATACATTGTCAGGCAAGAACCCGCGGAACACAACAGCAAGCAACCGTTCAATAAAAATGTGGTAGTCATGACTTTTTAGGCCTAAAACCCTCTTTTGCTCAAGGTTTACACCACGCCTTATGTTTTGCGACATATGCATCAGGAAACTTTAAATCTTGGATCCATTTGAGAATGGTTGGCTTGTCATCTTTACCAATACAGAATGGACCTCTTGGCCTATCCCACTTCCCATTGTTTCTTTGCACCAAATGGAGCGAAGGACGATTACAAATCTGAGCTAAATCTAGCCTAGCCTTCACATTATCTTTGGTCTTATCTCCTATATCAAAGCATGTGTTCCATATGGCTTCACCATATTCTTTTCATTGTGCATCACATCAATATTGTGAGGTAGAAGAAGTTTACGGAAATATGGAAGTCGCCTAAAGCAAAGTGCATGTGTCCAATTATGCAATTTTCCATAGGTATCTGAATCACCTACAAATCTATCCAAATGGTGTTGCATTTCCTCTCCTGTTAAGATACTAGGAGGCTCCTCAGAAACCCTAGTGTTCTTACGGAATGCATTTGCTTGTTGTCTAAATTCATGATCAACAGGCAGGAACTTCCTGTGGCAATCAAACCAGCAAGCCTTATGACCATTACGTAGTGTAAAACCTTTGCACCCATATCCATATGGGCATGACAATCTACCATGTGTGCTCCATCCAGCAAAGTCACCATATGCCATGAAGTCATGTACAGACCAAAGGTAGGCTGCCCTTAATGTAAATTCTTTCTTTACCGAAGCATCCCAAGAATTAACCCCTACCCATAGGTCCTGAAGTTCATCAACTAAGGGCTGCATTAGAATGTTCAACTTTTACTGTGGTGCTTTGGACCGGGGAAGAACAAGGAGAGGAAAAAAATATACTCTGTCTTAAGAGTGTGCCAGGTGGTAAATTTAGTGGGGTCACAAAGACTGGCCAACATGAATAAGGAGCAGCATTTAGATTAAATGGTGTGAAACCATCAGTTGCTACAGCTAGTCGCACATTTCTTCTATCTGATTCAAAGTCAGGGTTGTCTTTATCAAATTTCTGCCAAGCTTCTCCATCACAAGGGTGCACCATTTTACCATTCGTTGAGGGACTAGGTGCATACATTAGTTTATTGTTTGTTTCGGTGTAGAAACAACCTTTGCAGCCTATCTTTGATGGGAAGATAATGCAAAACTTTGCGTGGAATTTTCTTCCCACCATCCTCATATCGATTGGCTTTACAAAATTCACATTTCTCTTTATTCTCATTATCTTTGTAGAAAAGCATGCAATTGTTGTAGCAAACATCAATTTTCACATATGGCATACCAAGACCCTCTAATAGTTTCCTTGATTGGTAGAAGTTGTCGGGGTAGCTTAGAATCTGGAGGAAGAAGTTCATGGACAATATCTAAGATGCCATCATATTCTCGCAATAGGCATGTTGTATCGTGACTTTACGAAGAAGCAATCGAGCAACCGCGTGACATGCATGAGTGATTGGTTTTTCGTGCACCAACTCATCTCGCACTAGCGACCATCCTGTAGAAAGCTTTAGCATATGGTGTTGGTTCATCTACTGCAGGTGGATGGGCCCTAGCTAGATCAACTAGCATTTCATCCATATGGTCGGTCTCATCAAAACCCTCTCTATTTCTTTGCATTGTCAAATTCAAGATGACTAACGATCCCTCTCCATGCTCATCCATGTTTCATAGCCTTCCTTAAAACCATGCTTACATAGGTGCAATTCTACAGCTTTTTCTTGGGTGTCTAAAATAGTTCCGGCACTTGGCACAAGGACACTTGATGGTACCATTTTGAGCTAAACCCGGAAATGCAAATGCATGATTCAAGAACACAGTGCTTTGATTAATCCATTCATTAGAAAAGTTACCACGCTGCCAACCACTATACATCCATGAGCGGTTTGACATGTTAATAAGTTCTGTATTGAAAGATTAACATGTTAGATTTCTGTTTAGTATTATTTTATATCAGAAAATCTACACTGCATGAAAACCACACTATTTTAGATCAAGAAACAATCAAAGATTTGTTTTTTATTAATATAGAACTAAACTACAGTTGTCCATAAAACGATCTGGGTTCACCATTCTTTAACATTGCTCAAGTGAAGTTCTCGCTGAATTGAATCACAGCCAAATGCCAAAGGAAAATAAATGCAGGCAACATCACAACGAGAAAGGAACATAGATTAACCTTGATTCTGGAACCAGGAAGCTCAGCTCACGGGCCCTTCACCTCCAGCGTGGATCCTGTCTTCTCCAGATCCAGTGTCACCTGCCTTCCGCCGGACCTCCACTGCTCGCGTGTTTCTCGATGGAGCAGCAGATGAGTTCTTGAATGGAGACTGCGGAATCCTGGACTCCTGTTAGTTATCCCAATAATGAAGACCTTAATTGTTAAAAGATCTATCTAACAAGGGTCCGAACTATCAAGTTATAACAGAAGCTTATGTAATATATGTTCTCCTGCATCCAAGACTCAATAGTCTCACGTTACATCAATTAGATACGGAACGTGTTGCCTATAATAGAGACTGATTTGTCTCAAATAAAATAACTCTATATTGCCATTAACAGGTGTGATAACTGACACATGCACAGCTCGGTTAACAGGAAGAATCAATCGATCTATAGTGGAAGACAGAACACACCTGTATGGAGGCGTGGAGGAGCTGAGTGGTGACCCGAGGAGTCATGGCGTCTGTCCGTCTCAAGGGCGGCACTTGGTGTGGAGGAGCTGCAGGGGAGCCATGGCGGCGTGGAGTAGTGAGAGAGGCGGACGAAGCGGGCGGCGTGGTGGAGGGCACAGATGGGGTTGCAGACGGCGTAAGGGAGGCCGGCGAGGCGGGCGGAGTGGGGGAAGTTGGGGACGGCGACGTGCGGTAGCTCCATGGGAAAGATGGGGCTGGCATGAGAGGAGACCACGCCACGCAGGAGCTCCGTGGGGAAGATGGGGCGGCGGCGTGGGGGAGGGGTGAGCAGAACGGGCGTGGGGAGGCAGCGCCGAGGCGCGATGGAGAAGAAATTGTTGCGGTGCTTGGGAGAGGTGGGAGTACCGTGCGGTGTGTGGTGTGGGGAGATAGGGTTTGCCTTTTCTTTTTTTTTTTTTTTCCTCTTCTACTGCGTGCAGCCACTTTTTTTTTAGCATCGGCCACTGAAGAGCTTGAAGGCATAGGGGATGGATGGAATTTTTGCGGGCTTTGGCCCGCCCTCTCGTCTTTGGAGGGATGGCGGAAACTTCTGGCGGGCCTTTTTCAGATTTTCGCACCTTCCAATAATTTCCACATGTGTAATTAAAATCAGCGTCGGGGTAAATTCAAAAACCGACAGAGTAATTATTTACCTGTTCGGTTTCTTAAAACACTGAGTTAATACAAACTTCCTCGATGGTTATTCATTTTCCCTGTGTGTTTTACGATAACAAATCACAAAAAATTGAATTTACCCTGACGGTTTTCTCAATAACCGTAAAAAAAACCGAAACTGTCAGGGTATTTCGACTTTCCAGTAGTGATACATATCATTTACCATGCCAACTTATATTAATAATTCCAGCATAAATGAACCAAAAAAAGGGATCGTCCAAATTTATTTGTTCAGACTCAGTGTTAGAGATCATATGACAAAGTTCAGACTTCACTTTGGCTTCAAATGGGGTGAGTATCCAAAAATTATTCTTGCTGTTCAAACCCTTCTTACTTCACTTTCCATTCAGGTTTCCAGATTGGAGTACAAGCCTGGCCATTCAGGTTTCCATGATATTTGTCTTCTTCTCTACTATAATAGACCAATCAAAATTATACTAGGTCCCCCCTGGAAAACGTCCCCCGCTGAGAGCTTTCAACCATTATGCACCCAGGAAAATGCACACATGAATTCATCTCCATTAAAATCAAGAGCTAATAAAACACCTAAATCAAATCCGATGGCCACGATTCGATGTGGGATGCCAGGCTTCTCACGCATCCACACCCCGCACGCCGACGCCGCGCCCTCGCTCCTCCCCGCATCCCGCACGCCCCTCCCTCTCCCACAGACGTGGCTCCTCCACCCCCCACGCGTGCGCGACTCGTCACTCTCCTCTCCCACCAGGCCATCGGCCGCCAGGCATCGCGGCAACCAAGGCCGCCCAGCGCGGCCAGAGACGAGAAGAAGTCCTCGCTGCCGACCATGAACGCTTTAGCGGCATCCGCTCCTCCATCGCCGCCCCGGCGCTTAGGGGTTAGGGTTTGAGTAACGGGAGCAGGCCTCCAAATCCAGCGCCGGCGGCAGGCAGTCCACGGCGTGGACAAAAATCCATGAGCAGCCCGGCTGGGGCCGTCGGCTGCCAGACCGAGCGGCAGCAGAGCAGTGGGCGCCCGCGCCAGCATCATGGCTCGGGCTCGTCTTGGGCTGGATGGATGCACTTGCCGATCGCAAGCTTGCTTGCTCGCTCTTCCACCTCTCCGCCGCCCCTAGAAAAATCTCACCATTCGAGAAGCCCAGAGTGCCATGGTCAAGAAGGTCCGGTGCGGAGTTGCATTTCGAGGACAGGGCACCATGGTCCCGACACCGCAAGTAAAAGCCGCCAAGTCCCAATTTCGTTTGTGTCGATCCTCAATCGGGCATTGACTTCTCCTCGGCACCTTGAGCATGCAGGGATGAGCTCAAGAACCTGGACTCGATTCCTCCTGCTCGGCGAGCTCTCAGGTACGCGGAGAGGAACATCGACTTGTTTTGTCTAAAATTCCAGTCTTTGCAAATTAAATGCTTGGATCATTAGAATCTTCGACTTGGCTCTAAATATTGCTCACCCTCTCTGTTGATTCGTCTTGTATTCCCAAAGCCTGCTTGTTTCCCTGACCACCCCCAAAAGGGATTCAAGACGCCCACGAGCTGTTTCTTAAAATGTCCACTTCTGAATATTTCCTATAGCGGTTCTTGCCTTTTGTCTCTATCAATCAAGCTTCTTGTATTAGCTGGTCCAGCTCATGTGCTCATTTATCATGTACTCATTTTAGATCTAAACTCGCACTGATTTACATTGGGTTCTCCTTGTGGTTTAGAATTTTAGTTTTTCCTCCTTTTTCAGTAGCATCCCTATGGTGAAGATCCAGGAGCTACATCTGCTCAGAGGCGTGTAGAATGGTGTGGCATGTGAAGATTTATTTAATTATAGTTGACTGAACATTCTCTATCGTTGGTTAATACAATCTCTAAGTTCTAATGAACTAATCTAGGAGCAGCCGTAATACTCCTAGAAAATTGACATGTATAATGTTTTTTTCTTACGAAACAATTATATTGTCTTTTTTCTATAATGTAATTTAGTTGTTTTAGTATGCATATATTCCAGTTTTAGTATGTATATACCTGAATGTTGTTTTGTGGATTATTCGTTAAAAGTACCATTCACACGCATCCTATACACCTGTATAATTGTGAGAAACTGTAAATGTGCAAAAGCTTATCCAGAGGTCCACGCAATTGCTATGGCAAAATAGGTGGATCAGTGGCATATAGAATTCAGTATCTTTAGATATTCTTGCTTGAATATTTTGAATTTTCTCTTTAGGATTTTTCACCGACTGACTGAACATGTGTGTGTGCGCTATTGGAATTCCATTCAGCTTGTTGAGAAGTCCCCAGTGGTCTGAAATGGTAGCAGCCATAAGTAGAGCACCTATGGAATACAAATGGCCATCAAGTGAGAAGGCAAGAACCACTCTTCTAGATGCATGCAAGAGAAACGTGGAGCAGGACCTAGCGCAAGTTACAAATACATGGTACGCAGTGATTTTATACTTTGTCATCTTCTTTTCATTACAAGTATTTCTGATAGAACCTATGGTATGGTGGATTCATTGCTTCTCACTATATTTTCACAATATTGCATATGAAAATTTCTTTATAGAATCAATGGATTAGCTCGCTCGGCCGGCCGGCGCGGTCCCTGGCTCAGAGGCCGGCACGGGTGGATAAATGATTAGTTGATTCTCTTCAGTTGTTGATATTGTCGCAGCGTACAACGTTTAAATGAAGCAAGTACTTGATATATTGTGTAATTGCAGCGAACAAGTCTGTTGACTCTTTTCAGTGGTTGTATTTTGAGCTTGAGGACAATGGTGGATTTAGCCTTTTAGTTTCTTGATTTGTTTGACTATGTTCTGCCGTAGCGTTAGCACGGGCATTATACTAGTATGACGTACGCCTCGGCATACATGCACCGCCCCGTATTGTTGGCTGTACGCCGGGTAAACAGGAACAGAGGGAGTATCTATAAGAAATATAATTTTATATATATTTCCTATATGTATAGAAATTATCACGTGATAATTTCTAGATTAGGCTACCCTTAGCGCGCTAAATGGGGGAGACTTAGCACCATTTTTTTTTTTTTTTGAGGGGAGAAGACTTAGCACCAGTTAAGCAGGGCAGTACGCAGACGGTCTGAAATTAACATGGGCTTCTCAAGATTCCATCACGGGGGGCCCAAAACGGCCATATTGGAGGGACCGGAGTACAGCATTGCCGAAGCCTCTGACGTTCTCCTCGGCGGCTCCTCAACTCTGCTTGTCCCTCTGGACTCTTGTTCTTCTTCCCTTCAGATGTTGGCCTGTTGCCTCTTGGCGTTTCCAACCCCACTAGTGGAGGGGGAGACCGGCAGTGTGAGTATGCTGTCCGTGTCAGTCGTGTTCAAGCATTCAACAAACTGCTGCTGCGTTTATTTCGACTTGACTATTCAACTTAATTTGTACTGCTAGACTATTCAGCTGTAGTGTGATTCTCTGTTGACATACTAGTGATGATTATTTGATGCAAGAAACAGGGCAGAAACGTAGTAGAAACTACAACTTTCATGTCAAGTAGTTTGCCGGCCATGGGAAGAAAAGGTCCAATGCTTAGACCTCCACAATACCCATAGCCTGCTCCTGCTCGCAAAGATCTCGTGACTCGTGAGAACCAAACACTAGCGCTGGTTACCTGAGTGGGAGATTGTGGAAGCTGTGGTTCCATTTTGTCTCAAAATTGTCAAGGTAACGAGGAAGTCTCAACCGTCCAGAGGAAAGAGGCTCCCCTCTGATTTCATCCTAAACAAGAGTACCTCATGCCTTCAAACCTGGGCTGCTCACAGGTGTTTCGTCGATGGGAGTTCATCGCTGCCGTCGCGCCATGACAAGCTTCGGTACTCAGGTAACTAAGATCTCATCTTTCTAACAAGCATGATGGGTAAACAATGGATGGCACAGATCGATGGGCAGGCAACTGCTCTACAGTTCTGAAGAAGCATCAATCTGTTTTTCGACATTTGACGATTCTTGTAGGACAGGACAATCATTTTCTTTTCATATTGTATATATCCTTTGACGGACATAGTTTAATGGCTTTTGCCTAACTTTTACTCACCATGCTTCTTGTTTTTGCAAAATTTGCACTCCTCATTGTGATTTTTTTCTGCCTTTCAGCTGTTAAACATGATAGAGATTATGGCAAAGTCTGGCCTTTGACGCTCCAAATAATTCATACAAACTAAGCAGGAATTTGTTGGTCTTTCATTACATCCCAGAATCATCAAGTTGTGCCATCCAACTGCAAGGGTTTTTCTTGGTCATAAAGTATGAAATCAGGGCCATGCAATACTTCAACATGTTGGCGGCCTTCCTTTTATTGCTTGCCTTCCCTTGTCACCCAACTGTTGATGGCCAGCTCTCTACTATAGCTCCCCCACGCTCTTGGGAAATTATCAGTATGCTAGCCATATCTATGAATGGAGAAAACACTAGTATGGCACCTGTCCTTGTAAATAGTACAGAATTATATATATAGGACCATGTTTGGCTTCTACACCACAGATGGAGGACATTCGTTTATCCTGTCTGTAGTGTTTTTGGGAGCCCCAGCTCCAGTCATCTGGTCTGCCAACCCCGATAATCCAGTAACCCGCAACGCCATCTTGAATTTCACCAGTGAAGGAGACTTGCTCCTACATGAAGCTGATGGCGCAATAATATGGACCACAGATACAAACAGCTTGTCAGTTGCAGGCATGAGACTGGATGATTTAGGAAACCTTGTGCTCTTCGATCAGAATAACACCACTGTGTGGCAGTCCTTGGACCACCCAACTGACACTTTGGTCTTGGGGCAATCACTTTGCAGGGGAAATAACCTCAGTGCAAAAACCTCAAGCACAAAATGGCCAGGTTCAAGGGTTTATCTTTCTGCAGAGTTGGATGGGTTGCAGTACTCTTTCAAACCAGCAGCCTACACACAGTTATTCCAAGCTACTACAACATCAACCAACGCAACACAAACTTGTTATGCATTTGTCAATGGCAGCTTTGGGTTCCCATATAAGATCTTCTCAATACCGTTAGCAGGATCAGTGCAGTTGATGAGGTTAGAGTCCGATGGGCATTTGAGGGTTTATGAGATGGGGATATCTTACCCAGATGGGTTTGATGTACTAAGCAATTTCATGAACTTTTGCGACTACCCATTGGCCTGTGGTGACTTTGGTGTTTGCAGTAATGGACAATGTTCTTGTCCTAGTTCCAACTATTTTAGGCTCCAAAATGAACGGCATCCAGATGCTGGGTGCATACCCTTAGCAAGCATCTCCTGCGACGATATGCATGACCACAAGCTGATACCACTCAACAATGTCTCTTACTTCAGTTACACCACGTTCCAGTCATTAGCCACTGAGTCAGCTCTGAAGGTGTCTGGCTGCATTCTTGCAATCTTGCTTATTGGATTGCTCCTGCAGAGTAGTTCTTTTCAGAGTTCGAGTTACGGTGAGGATGCTGGTAACTGCTTGCTGTTATCAGAGCAGAACCTAATTTTGTTTACAGATGGTTCATCAAATGATCTTTTGGCACTGTTCAAGACACAGGACAAGCACTAAGTAAAAAGGAGGAACATTATTATTGGCTCCACAGTTGCAGGTTTTCCATTACATCAATTTTTGTTTATGCTGTCATATGGAAAAATGCAAGAAAGACGAGGAACCCTGTTTGATGGCATACCAGGGATACCAAAGCGTTTCTCCTTTCATGAGTTGAAGGCCGCTACCAGCAACTTCTCTATGAAGCTTGGAGCTGGTGGTTTTGGGTCGGTTTTCAAAGGCACAATAGGCAAGGAAACCATTGCTGTGAAGCGCTTAGAGGGTGTCAATCAAGGAATGGAAGAGTTCTTAGCAGAGGTCAAGACAATTGGCAGAATCCATCAGCTGAACCTAGTCAGGTTGGTAGGATTCTGTGCTGAGAAATCACATAGGCTCCTTGTCTATGAGTACTTGTCCAATGGCTCATTGGATAATTGGATCTTTCACACGAGTTTAGTTTTCACTCTTTCTTGGAAAACCAGACGTAATGTCATGTTGGCCATTGCTAGGGGTTTGTCTTACCTCCATGAAGAATGTGAAGAAAAGATTGCTCATTTACATATCAAGCCACAGAATATTCTCCTGGATAACAAATTCAATGCAAAGCTCTCAGATTTCGGACTCTCGAAAATGATCAACAGGGACCAGAGCAAAGTTATGACTCGAATGCGAGGAACCCGTGGATATCTAGCACCTGAGTGGCTGGGATCAACAATCACTGAAAAAAGCAGACATCTACAGTTTTGGGATCGTGATGATCGAGAAAATCTGTGGTCGCCAAAACCTGGATGAATCCCAGCCAGAGCAGAGCATCCACTTGATAAGTCTGCTCCAGGAAAAGGCAAAGTCTGGCCAGCTATTTGATTTGGTGGACAGTAGCAGCGATGACATGAAATCCAATGTCGAGGAGATCATGCAAACGATGAAGCTTGCATTGTGGTGCTTGCAGGTTGATAGCAGCAGAAGGCCCTTGATGTCAACAGTTGCCAAGGTGCTGGAAGGAGCGGTGAGCATGGAGGCCACACCTGACTGCATTTTTGTCCCCAGTTTTGCATCAATTAATACTGATGTGGCAGGATCAATTTCCTCCTATGTATCATCTGAGTCGCAATTATCAGGGCCTAGGTGATAAAATAACTGTTTGCCATTGCTTCAGTTGCCCATTTTGATTTCAATGCAGCATCTGAGGAAATTAAGATCCAGTTATATTTGGATGCAGCAGAACCTGTTCTCTTGCACAAACCAATAGTAACAGTTGAGATTGATGCATTCTTTTCATGCTTTGCGAAGAGAACAACAGTTTCACCATTGTTGTGATCGGGTTAGATGATGACAAGCTCGATCTATCTGGGCCCCTCTTTGGAACACACTGAGTTTCATGTATTTATTTATTTTCAATTGGCTTTAGCTTTGGCGTTCACCAACGTACAAGACGTTCTATGCTTGGGAACAATGTTAAGACATAACCTTATATAATGCAATACATTGGTGTCGTCTTATAGGCGGTCTCATATATTTTCATTCATAATTCCTTAATTACACATGTAAAATATAATATTTTGAATGGAATTACAAATACAACTCGTAAAATGGAGCACTAGTAGTCTCAATCCAAAATTTTCAGCTCATGAGGTGGTAGTGTCTTGAAACAATGACATGTTTCTCACTTTCACCTTTCTTATTGAAAACTATAAAAGATATTGTGATATTGCATAAGCCAACTTATGAGATGGTTAACGTGTACTAATGTATTTGCGCCTTGGTACTGTCACACTTTTTTTACACATGGTACTGTCACACTTTTTATTTTATTTTTAAAGGACTACAAAAGCTTTGTCGCAAGTTTTGTTATTAGAATGATTAGTCTTTGGGAATTCTGTGTGTAAGCAGTCAGCGTGATTCAGCTTTGGCCGTTGGGCAGTGAACACTGAGCAGTTCTATTTTTTAATGAAAAGGAAAGTTGGCAGTGATTAGTACAAGTATTTGAGTGACAGTCTTACCTTTGATCATGGAGCATTATACTTGAGTTGTTTTTTTAAACGTAATTATTATACTTGAGTTGTGAACTGAGTGAACTTCAGCTGGCTGTCCTTCTAGATCAAGTCTTATACTTAGCACGAGTGCTTGTATCTACGGCCCTTTATTGGATAGGTATTGTGTCCGTTGTCTTTATTGTGTAGGCGCTTGTTGAAGTAAGGTATGCGTGTGTTTATATGGGTAAGTATATGTTGGTTATAAGTCTGCCTATATAACACCCTAAAGGACTGTATATTTATAATATCGTAGTCCTGGAAGGTAAAAAACTACAGTTTTATTCCTTTGCAGGCGACCGATAACCTGCATAACCGTCAGTCACCCGTGTCCGCCCCCACGCCTAGCGCACTGTTCATCTTCCCCACCGCAACGCTCGCGCCCGCGCTCGAGCTCACCCCACCCCCTTCTTCCCCAACTCCGGCGGGCTTAGAAGAGAAGGGAACTGGCGGGAGAAAGGCCGGCCAGGCGGTGGGGACGGCGGCAGGGTGGTTTAGGGGCCTAGCGGCGGTGGAGGCAGCCGGGCCAGGTCAGGGCAGGAGAGCTCCATGGCCAGAGCTCACCGCAAAAGAAGAAGGGGGGAGGGGAAGAAGGTGGCCGGACGCGCGAGGACGAGGAGGCGGCGGGGGCGAGGACGAGGAGGGACGCGAGGAAGAAGAGGGACGGGAGGTTGTAGATAACGGATGGAAATACAAATCCTCAGTCGACTGTTGCGGAAACAGACAAAAAAAACTAATGCCACACCGCCGGTGATTCTTAATCTACAGCCCATGGTTGTACTGTTGTAAAGAAATCTGCACACCTTCTTGCACATATTGATGGCAGTGTTGGACTCTTTTATAGTTTTGTCTTCCCTTTGTCTTGCAGCAACACTAGAACATCTGCCGTCCTTCGGCCCGTGATTTGAAGAATAAAAGATAGTTTATGCTTGGGAGACATGCGACGTAATAACAGCTCTTGAAAAGGCTATTTTATTAATAAATAACTGTATATAACCATATATACTTTGCGGCTACAATCAACTAAGCTGGAACCATCTAATAATATTCTGAAAAATGCATAAGGATTGTCGAATAAATATGTCTAATTTTGCAATCTTCTCTCAAGGCTCATTCAACAGGCAACGCTCATTCCACGGAATCTCGTTACTTCTTCACTTTTCATCTCTGTCCTTTCGGCCATGCAAGAACTGATCATTTCCAACTACCTAAAATTTGGTCTATATGTTTTAATCATAAAAAGATTATCATAAGAAATCGTTAAAACACTAAGCCATTGGATGCATATATACACTTAATTGACATCTCAACATTTCCCTATGCATTTCCCTGTGCAGAATGAAGAATCTTCCGCGATTAAGAAATTGTAATCTGGAGATCCTTCAGTATGCTGCGAATAGCGAAAATCCTAATTTAGTTTTGTTAATTGAGTGACAACTAGTAGACTAACAAGTGCCTAAGTGTTTTGATAAGCTAGGTCTAGTACACGCCAAGAGTTGAGCAAGGAAATGCTACCATGGAGGAGATTTTGTAGGCCAAGATGGTGGTGTATTTGATTAAAAAAACATGAAAACAATAAAAGGCCGAGAACACATCAAAATGCAAATGAAGTATTTGATAAAAAAAACATGAAAACAATATAACACATAAATAAAGTTTCGGTGTAATTTATCGGATGTCTCCGAAGAGACAGTTTCGGTGTAATTTATGATGACCCTAATGGCTATTTTTTCATGATCACAATGCTACATCGATCTCATGGCCCAAGCCCAGCGCTGGGGTCAAAGGTGAAGGCCGAGCCTGAGCCCTGAGCCGAACAACTATTTTCTCCTCACCAGGCTAGGCCTTTTTTAGGCTCCAGTGTCCAAATGGCAAAACTGGGGAGCTTGAGCCCGTCCGATTTTGTTGGTCGGGCTGAAGTTCGAGTTATGAGCACGCCCAGTTCGTTGGTTGGGCTTGGCCGTATCGAATTTTTGGGGCCGGGTCAGGTTTATAGGGCTGTGTTTCCCATGATGGTCAAGTCTACAAACGATACATGGTTGACACGTGGGCCCAAGGAAACCACTAGATCCTCGATGGTAATGGAAAGCGACAAAACTTTTTAAGCTAAAATCCAGTAAAAAAATTTGCATTAAAAACTCTACCCAAATATAAGGAATTCTAGGGACAAAATCTACTTTGCATTAAATATTAGCATAAATTTTATATGTGCTATATCTATATTAATGACGCTAATAACAGCGTCATATTAGAAAATGAAGTGAGGGTATATACATTTTGTATTCTCTCTTGATATGTCCTAAAATATCTAGAATAACTATATTACAGGACAGAGTGACTATAGTGCAATAAACAGTGCTTAAGGTGACAATTATATGGCTAAAAAACAGTGCTAAAAAATATTTACACCTTTGTGGAGCATATAGGCAAAAAAAAGGCATGCATTCTTGTCAGAAAGGGAGGGGAAGACCGAGACATATCCCCTCTGTCCCTAAATATGTCGTTTTCGCTTCTCGATAAACAACTTTGACTAAATATATATAAAAAAATAGTAATATTAATAGTACATAATTAGTATCATTAGAAAGATCTTTGAATCTAGTTTTTTAATAAATTTATTTGGAGATACAAATGTTGCACGTATTTTCTACAAATCGAGTCAAACTTGTGGCACGCACACCAACGGCGACAGTTATTTAGAGACGGAGGGAGTACTTATGGGATAGATGGGTGCCTTGCAATGAACAAAGGCCTTTGTTGTATTATTATTTGCAGGCACGATGTCATGTTTTTTTGTTAGTTGAAGAAAGAATAGGTTGCTGTGAGTCTTATGGAACACTTAATTATCTAGCCTTTGATGCAGCATCTCACTTGACCTTTATTCAGAAATAAGAAAGTGATCCAGAAAATTAAAGTTATCAGTTTATCACACACTATAAATTGCAGCCATTGTCATGAACCTGCAGGCAACAACGAACATGACATGCGTACCACCCAGCTGTTTTTTTATTTGGTCCGTGATGCCATTGCCATCGTCAACGGAAAAAAAAACTAAAGGTACTACTACTAGTAAACAAAAAGAATACAAAGCGTACTTTCCTGAGCTAATCAAACAATCTCTCATTGGCTTCTCTCAGTTAAATGATGTGATGGTTGGCATTGACACGAGATGCAATGGTCGTAAAGATTCCAGAAAGCAGGCTTGGTGTCGGGAAGCAATTATAAGTTTTATTAGTGGCCCAGAACTCATTGCCACTCAATCTGTCTAAACTAAACTCATACTAGAAATACATTTCTTTAGGCCAGAGAGTACCTTTCAGTAGTAAGAACCGGGCCGTTTCATTATGTATATATGCTCCACACGTAAGGACTTCTTTATTTCTATATATATTCTCTATTATAGTTTTTTTTAAGAATTATACAGTACAACGCAGATGAGAATTTTTTCTTTAGCTAGACATGATGCACTGACAGATTAGGTCGAGCTATTTCTTAACATCTCTACATTTTCGGACGGGTAGGTCGGTGACCACAATGAACGGGTTTAGGGCTCGTTTGGATGGCGCCCTGGGAGGCAGGTGCCTTCCAGTCAACCGATCCTATCGGACGCCTGGGAGCCTTGCCTGGGTGCTTAGCTGCCTGCGCGTAGCGGGCTATCTGGCCCCGGACATGACGTGCCGGTTGCCACCCGCGGTGCCCCTCCCAGGCTCCCCTGTTCGAGGAAAGCGGCCAGGAAACGTGCGGAAATCTTGGCGCTGAAGAGCGGCCACGGCGTCTGCCTGGGGCCGCGCGGAAATGGACGCCGCGCGCGCAGCCGGTGCCGCGACCGCGCTGGACCGCTGTCCGCTGGGAGAGAGCTAGTCGGCGGCGACAAGGACAGGTGGAAAAGATCGCGTCGCCCCGTCAAAATCAGCTGTGTGTCTGCTGTATTCAGACACATGCGCCACGACGTGGTGGACACTGCTGGCTCACTGGACAGCAGCACAGCACAACACCGGATGGCGGAAGCTAGCTAGCAGTAGCAGTCTAGGCTCTAGCAGAGTGCGACGCATCTCGTTGGCTTCTCCGCCGACTACGGTGGATCGGCGGATCTGCGTGC